ATTCCTGCCAACATTAGTACATACCTATGGAATATGCCACGATAAATAACTATTGGATGGTGTATTGTACTTCAAAGATTTAAATGAGAGAAGAGATGTGAGGGAGTCTGAGAGCAGTAAATGTGAGGCTTTACAGATGAATATCATGAGATGATTAGTCCTTCTTGTCAGCTAGGAAGTCCATCCAACTTTGTGATACAGAGAGCAGTGATGAGTAAAAACATATTATTAATAATGAAGTGCAATACTAAGAAAGTTCAGCAGCATGACGATACAGAACCTCTCTATAAAGTGCAGGCATGAAAGATGTAATTGTGCACAGCATTTGCAGGCCACATCAGTGTACACTTGTTAGTGATGTCTGTTTAAATGCACAGTGACTCACTGAGAGATGTGACGTCCGCCAGCATGAAGTAGCCTCCCTCTGGGATGATAGGAGTCATACCAGCCTCCTGCAGCATGGCAGCCAGGCGGTCCCTCTTGTTCTCAAGTTCCTCTGCCAGTGAGGAGAAGTAGCAGTCAGGCTGACCCATCAGCTTAAGGTTCCAGAGCAAAGCTTGTGCCACAGCCTCCTGAAGAGAAACAAACACGCTTCAGAATAGCAGCAAAATCCTAAATGCTAATGGAATTCAAGGAGCAGACTTGCCTGTAAAGGTGTTGGGCATGTGTACAGCATATTCGTCAGGACAGTCTGAAGATGCTTTATCAAGTGCCCAGGTCCTATAGACCAACCAAGCTAGAAGACACAAATTTCAGTCACATGATGCACAAGAACTGATGGCTGAATATTCAAAACTGAATCCTAAATCCACTGATTCCTCACCTTCCATCCAGTAACACTAAACATTTTCCCTGCACTGCCAATAGTGATCGTTCTATCCCACATTCCAGGCAGAGTGGCTGTAGAGAAATATTATTCAAAGGTTAGAGTAATACTTCTCTTTTAAATCCAGTAACATGTTTTAAGTTGCCAGTAATAAGAACCAAATGTCATGTCAAGAAATGGAAAATGGGATCAGAGTACTTGCTCACATAGCTAAGATTAATGTACGTGTTAAGTTCTTAAATGATGGTACAAATACATGTCTTAATGTCTGGTTAGTAACTGAGAAAGCTGGTTTGCTTCCTGGCTTTTAACAAGCCAGCTACTTAGTGTAATAATGCAATTGCCAAGGGCTAGCATGTGGCCATCCCACAGCTCCCTGACTAGCTCCATCACCATATTTTGAGCAGAAACACAAATGCACTTCGCTGTGCCACCTTCTGGCAAGACTGGAACCTAAATCAAAGTGCCTCTGCATGTTTTAGTGTGCAATCCCTGTAAATTTTTATAAGGAATGGAGGCCAGTACTGTATAAGAGAAGAAAGACTTAAATACAAACCACACCAATTTTGATATGCTGTTGTCCCCTGTAGACAAGCCACTCATAAACCTCATCACTGATGCACAGAGTGTCATGTTTAATACAAAGGTCAGCAACCATCTGCAGCTCAGCACTAGTGAAAACCTGCAGGAAGAGGACAGGATCCACTCAAAGCACTTGTTTTTTTCTGTCAAGTCAAGTTAGCAAGTGTCGAACACAATGGGCAAATCTCTGTTCTCTTCATTGCATCCACATTCCCCTCACTTGCATCTTTTCCTCGTGTCTTAGTCCCAACCATGTAAGAAAGAAAATGTGAGGAGAGAGGAATTGAGGAAACCCATTTAAACTGATATAAGACGTCCTTTGCTCCGACCCTTCATCTCAAACTTCCAATCACCAACAGATTTTCGATAAAAAAGACTTCTGTGACAGACCTTCTCGTGTATCCTCGCTCACGGCTCCTCCAGCAGCCTTTTCACTCCTCCGAGTAGGAATAAGAGCTTTGGAACACTAAGGAACAATCGAATAAAGGAAAGGAGATTTACTCATTGTATGATGACTGATGTTTATTTACTGTACCTTTCCAATAGGATTGTGGGGGGTGTTGATGATGATGGCTTTTGTCTTCGAGTTGAATTTACTGGAAAGCTCATCTGGGTCAAGAACCCAGTCAGCGCTGCTGCCTGCCTTCTTTCCAGACTTCTAAAGATGTTGCAGAGGATATTTTGTGTCTTTACCCTTAAACTGTATTACCTTTGTCAGGTGAGAGTAGTAAGTAAAGCAAATGCTGTAATTATAGATCATGTAGGTCCAACAGCTTTAGATCAAACTTACAGGGTGTAGTGGTACCAACACAGGTTTGGCCCCTGCCATTCGCACAATAGGTACATAGCAATCATAAAAAGGCTCTATTATGATGACCTAGAGGAAGAAGCATCACACATCAAATATACTGTACATATTAGGAGCATGCCTATGAAAGTATTTGTGAAACTTTAAGAAGACAAACATTTTTGTATGGCCCAATGAGAGAGAGGAATGTCCTCACCTCATCACCCTCTTCCACCAGTCCTTGCATGGTGCAGAATAAGGAACCATGAGCTCCTACTGTGACCAGAATCTCTTTGAAGGGGTCAATCTGACGTCCATAGATTTTCCCGTAAACCTGAGAGAGGGCCTTCACCAGAGAGGGGTGACCCTTTTAAATCAACACAAGACACAAGTTGGACATAAAACAGTGCGTATATCTCTGTGCTTACTTCCTGAAGGCACCATACATGTTCTTTACATGTCACACTATGAAAGGTGGGACTAATATAGTCTTGTCTCAGTATCAGTTTTATAACAAAGAATCAAAATGAATGAGGTTTTTGTACAGTTAATCGGTCTTACAAAGCTTCTAGTGTACTGGTTAATCCTGTCCACTGATGCAGCCTTTGCTAGGGCCTCCTTGACATAAGAAGGTGGAGAGATGTCTGGCATTCCCTGGCCAAGGTTAACAATGGATGGATCTGCTGCCACTGAGGTAAATGCCACCCTGACCAAAAAAACAAAACAAAGGATAGAACAGAGGTCACAAAATATTTCTGACTAAGGGGCAAAAAGTAAAGATGAAGGAAAAGACTAACTACAACACCTCCTCTCTATGAGCTCTTACCCAAACCCTAGTAGCTAACATCTGTTTCTTCTCTTACAAGTGCAGTCAACCGTGTGTGCCTTTCTCCTTGTCAATACAATATAATGAAATGGGTCTGCTGTAATCTATAAAATGGTTATAAGGCAGCCTGTGAGAGACTGGTGACCAGTCCAGGGTGTACCCCACCTCTCACCCAATGTCAGCTAGAATAGGCTCCAGCCCTCCACGACCCTATTCAGGAATAAGCAGTATAGATATTGGATGGATGGTTATAAGGCTCCCCACCTTCCTTTAAATTGTGTAGAAGACAAGAATCTACAGTAATCATAACCGAATTCATAGCATTAAGAATAAAGGGCTACTGTACAGGGTGTTGGACTTTGCAGGCTCACTTTGACTTTGTCTGACCTTAAAAATCTGTTTAACTTCATGCACAGAGATGATGGCGGAGCCTGATCAGAGGTTTGTGTTCCAAACTCATCTCCTACTGTGACAAACACAAGAAGGTTTGGTTCTTCCACTTACCAGACATTCTTGTCCAGCCCCTCAATTCTTCTGGAGTTAGTGTGCCGTGAGGTCATTTTATGCTAAAACAGAAAACCAAATTATATCATTCTCTTGTAATACATTACACCTAACTGAACGCCTTATTAATGCTCTGCTGCTTTATGATTAGCACTTTCTGCAAGACTAAAAATTTGCAACTGCCAAGAGGCCAACAGGAGAGAACTCTAGGATGCTAGTGTGACTACAGTCTGGTAGAACTGAAACAAATCATCAACCACTCATGGCGGATAGTGTACAAAACATTAACGATCCATGACTTTACTCAGTGGTTTTATAACAAGGGTGGCTAACACTGCACCGCTATATTAACACACAGAGCTTACTAGGACACTAGTGTGACTACAGTCTGGTAGAACTGAAACAAATCATCAACCACTCATGGCGGATAGTGTACAAAACATTAACGATCCATGACTTTACTCAGTGGTTTTATAACAAGGGCGGCTGTGTCACTGTAGGAGGTGAGGGCACTATCCAACAATTCTTCAACAAAACTACCCTAACACTGCACCGGTATATTAACACACTGAGCTTTTAAAGTCAGAGCAGTTAAACTCATCAGCATGTCACCTGTCCACCAGAGCACCTTGAACCTTCTGAACAGGATCTAATTTCTGGCAGGTCCTGCCAACTAGTTTAAAAGCACAAGAGCTAAATTCAAAGATTTCTGAAGTGGACTTACCTGTGAAGTATAAAACCTTCTTTTGCAGTTTATGCTGACTGAATGACACGTGAACCTGGAGCAGGTCAGGACTTGCCGTGCTATATTCATGCTGCACAAAAAAAAAGATGAAAGATGAAAACTACAGTGAAAATCGTTTTTTATTATGCACTCCCAATGTAGCTGGTAGTTTTTTACATATGTCTTTGCTTCTGTCACATTTGCACATTAACTGCAGGTGTTTTAAGGTTCAAGTAAATGGCATTTCCTACTGGATCACACAGAATTCTACCAAAGTCCCCACAGATCTGAATCTGGTGACAAAATCTTATCATGACATTACTTCACTATTCAACATGCATTTTTTTTAAAAAGCAGTCAGTCTAACCCAGTGGTTCTCACACTTTTTTTGTCATTCCCCACTTAAGAGGGGCACTTTGACAAGCCCCACTTGTCAAAAAATAACGAAATCAGCCAAATTTAAATTTCAAATTTATTGAAATATCAAATAACACAAAGTTCAAAACAGATAAAAGATTTTACCAAGCGATTTTCCTGCTG